TTTCCATTTTAAATCACATTATATTGTTTATTTTTTTACATAACTTTTTTCTTCTTTGCATAAATCTTTTCCCATGTCAGATGAATTCCTTAAGAGGCAGTCCCTGTAGGGTGTGATTATTAAATCTGGGATTTATATTTTCTAAGCCTTAAACATTATTCTAGACTTATGTATACATATATAAAATTACATGTATACTTTTAAGTATAAGATTACATATTACACTTTGTTTTTTAAATATTCTTTGCTTTATATCATTTCTGATTTTACAATATTTTCTGCTTTTAGAAATTCCAGTAATAGAGAAACCCTACATTTGATGAGGTTTGCTGCTCATCTTATGTATATTAGCTCTCCATTTGGAATTATGTCATTATGTCACTGTGCTTTTCTTCCACTAAATGTTTCAGAGAAGGCACACTGGTGGCCAGGGCACCATCCAGCTTTGTTTAGGCTCAGTGACCAGGTAGCACTGGGTTCCTCTATGAGTGGCTGCAGTGGATCAGCTCATATGTGGATACATCTTCTATTCCTTGGCTCCCAGTGTATGGATAGTTGGTTGCTGATAAGCAGGAGACTCATCCATTCCTGTTTAGGACTGTCTGAGGAAACAGAAGCTTCAGGTACTAGGCATGAATCCCTCTCTATTCCTTGTGTAGACTGGAACAGGATTTCTGCCTCAGCAGGATGCTACTAATGGTCAGATCTACTTTCTTGATGTTTGTTTTTCCCCTTAATGGTAACTTTGATATTTACATTGTCTCATAGCACAACTAGAACAATTTTTGTTTCACAATTTGTCTAGGTGACTTCATGTTCTGTCACCTTTCCAGCAGTACTTCATTTTTACATTCTCTGGGAAGTCAGGAGGGTGAATCTCCCACAATTTAGGGAGGTAACATGTCCCCGGTCACCTTCCCAATAAGGAGTTTCTCCATGCAGTAGAGTTTTGCCCTATCCCTGGATTTTGACAAAGGGAGGTGTTTTCTTTCCACAGAGGATGGAACTAGACCCTTCCTTGGTCACCTGTGCCACCAAGACCCATCACAGTCCTTGACACCTTGTGAAATTGATTGGGGTGATTTCCTGTGCTTGGTTCCTCCCCCCATAGTACCCTACGGTATCAGTTGCTGGACACTTCTCCTGTTCTCTGACAGCAGCCTGGGGCTCTGCTAACAACAGGTATTTTCAGAAGCTGGGTAGAAATGCCTGATAGGGTATGGCATGGCCTATAAGGAGGTGCAGGTGTGCACGTCATCTCCAACTATTCAAGGTCTCTGGACCCCAAACAACCAAGAGGCAGAACCTGAGACTGGGACAGGAATAAATACAATGTCCATAAACCCTGCCACCAACTTGAGGTCCACCTTAAGGCATGGGCCCGCCTTCCACCTGTCATCTAATATGTTCAGGGGAGCTGGGAGGTGACCAGATGGGTGAGGTACCTGAGGGCCAGCAGAGCCCAGGCTGGGTGCCAGGGATGCTCCTTGGCCATCTCCTCACTGCCTGAGTCAGGGAGAAGTCCCGTGTCCTAGAAAAAGGAATGAATACATGTTGTAGGGGGCCTGGCTTTGTCCCAGAGATCTTGGCTCTTTTTCAAATCTGGGCCCCACTTGTCCCAAGACTTATTCTTGAGATCAGGTTAAGTGAGAAGCAAATGGAGGAGACATGGCTCCTCCCCTGAAAAACCACGCTAAAGGAAGCCAGGTGCATGCCCAGCAGAAGTATCTACGTGCTGACCTCTAAGGGGGCTGAGTTCCAGTGAGGACACTGGAGTGGAGTGATCTGGTTAAGATGAGGGAAGGCCAAGGAATGAGATGGGATATCCAGAAGTCAGGCTGATAGTTTACCTGGGGTCAGAGGAGGGTCTCTGAGGGATCCTGGGGGCTGGCTGATGAGGTAACAGGGGTAAGAGCAGGCTGGGCTCAGGGCTTTCTGGGGGCACCATGGAAGAGGCATCTGAGCAGTCAAGATGGTCCATAGGGTGCAGGGGGAGGCCCAGGAGGTTCTAGAAAGTGCAGGTGGGTTGTAATAAGCCAGGCCAATAAAGAGAGAAATACAACTTTTGGATTTTCTTTATTTTGTTCATTTTTTTTTCTCTTGACAGCTTAGAAAATTCCTTTAGAAAACTCTATCCCATCTCTGCTGAACTCAGGGTAAGGGAAGTCCAGAGGCTGCTGGAAGAGGGGAGGTGGGGGCTTTAGCCTTGGCCCTTCTCAAGCACCCTTATGCGTCCTGGGAGAGAACAGTGCAAGTCTCCACTTCACACCTGAGGTGACAGGAGGATGCACTTTCTTTCTTTCTTTCTCTTTCTTTCTTTTTTCTTTCTTTCTTTCTTTCTTTCTTTCAAGATTTTATTTACTTGACAGAGAGAGACATAGTGAGAAGGGAACACGAGCATGGGGAGGGAGAAGCAGGCTTCCCACCCAGCAGGGAGCCGGATGCGGGGCTCAATCCCAGGACCCTGAGATTATGACCTGAGCCGAAGGCAGATGCTTAACGACTGAGCCACCTAGGTGCCCCGAGGATGCACTTTCTAAGGCAGTGCTTAGTGTCAGGACGCATGCCCTCCATGGTCTCCCTCAGTCTGAGACCAGCCTGCAGTGTTGGCACGATGGGGTGTGTGCCTCTCCCACCCCTCCCCTGCTGGCCCACAGTGGAACCGTCTTCTTGGGTTTCTGGTAATTTCATCAGGGCTGCATCATGTTGCTAAAGCTGCAGATAACATCTCCCTGTGGGTAACTCTTCCCTGACAGAGCCCCTGAGTCTGTACCCAGGCTCAGAGTTGGAACAATGGGGTGGAAGTTTGGGGGTTCTGAGGGTCTGTAGGTAGAAGCAGGTTGGCTGGGATCTGGAATTGTGTTGAGGAACAATGCCATTTGCCACTGGACCCCATGGAAAAGGAGAAGGGGGCAGGTGGGCCTGGAGAAGCCCCTGAGCTCCTGGAGCTCTTGGATATTATGCTGACTCCTGAGAGCTCCGCCTAGGCTCCACTGACAAACCCCAATCCAGGCGCGGGCACAGAGACCCACCCCCTCCTAGGCCAGGAAGAGCGACTGTCCCCCAGCACAGGTCCACCTTAACTGGGCAGCCCTGTGGGCGGGGCGCATTGTTGATGCTGTCTATGCAGACCTGAGCGAAGGACCGACTTGCAGGCAGCACACGCAGCTTCCAGCCTGCTGACCTGGCTCCTCACGCTGAGTCTGCAGCCCAGCACCATGATCCAGGGCGCCTTGGAGCCTGATGGCCTCGGCTGGGGCTGGGACGGGGAGGATGACTGGGACGGCGCTGTCCTCACCCTGCTGGCGCTGGCTGTGGTGGCCGCCACGGCACTGGCCTTGCACTGGTTTGGCTCTGGGCAGGACCAGGAGGCAGCAGGACCCGCATCCAAAGCCCCTGGGGCCCAACCTTTGCAGGCGGGAGGAGCCAGGCCAGCCCTGCTCCTGAAGTCCAAGGTCAGTGGTGGCATGGAGGGAAACAGCCCAGGGCAGGGGAAGCCAGACCCTCCGGGACATGGCCAGGGGAGTCCGGCTGCAGCAGTGGCCCAGGATCCGAAGCTCTGGGGAGGTGGACGTCTGGCTGCCACAGCTCTACCTCCACTTAAGACACCTGGTGAGGTGACCACTGGGGGGGCCTTGGGACAGCAGCAAAGTAATGCCAGTCCAGAAGCCCCCCGAGGTAAAGGAAGGGAGGCTCTCAGGCCAGGTACTGCCCTCGTGGGTAGAAGCAAAGTAGGGGGGACGTCTGGCCCCCTCCTGATCCACTTCACCCCTCGGAGTCCTGGCAGAGAGATGGAAGGGCAAGCGGAGGCAGGAGGCGCCCAAGTCAAGGTGCCAACTCCCCAGGGCCCGGTCCACACCACAGAACAGGACACCCGTCCCTGGCAACGAGGTATAGGGTCACCTGGCTCACTAGAGAGAGGCCCCAGCAGCCGGCGGTGGCAGGTGGACCACAGCTCAGGAGATAGAAACCGCCACTTCCCGAAGTTGGACTCCCTGCGCCTGGGCGCTGCGGTGAGTGTGTGGGATGCTGTGGATGCAGCCTGCAGCCTCTCCACAGGCTCTCAGAGGCCCCCTATCCCCCAGGAGCTGCCCCCATCACACACCACGCAGACTGGGCCCCTGGCTGAGGGCACAGAGAAGGGGTGCAGGGAGAGCAGCCTCCACCCAGCCCCAGCCCTAGCTCTGGAAAGCAGGGAGGCTGGGTCCCAGGCTCCCAGGAAGGCTCAGGGATCTCCAGCCTCCGTGGAAGGCTGGCCCTGGGACAGGAGGGATTTTCTTGTCACCAGGAGCTTCAGCCAGGCCCCAGGCTCCACGGGCCCATGGCCAGAGGGGTCTCAGGGGAGACTCTTGTCTCAAGGGCGGGGGACCACAGACACCAACGACGCAGTAAAGGCTGGGGCTAATGGCTCTGGAGATGACTCTTTCTTCAGCTCAGGGCCCAGTGGGACAGAGGAGGAAGCGGGCCACGGCGTGAGAGAAAGGAGAGAATCCCAGCAAGGCCAGGGGGAGCAGAGCAGTGAGCAGGAGGGAGGCCCTCAGGACAGAGGAAAGCCCTCCACAGACACCGGCCAGGGAGCCCCCTCCCTGAGTCCCTTAGCCACACCCTCCCCACGCATCCCTAAGCCTCTTCCACCCTTGGCTTCCCCTCTGACAGCACGTTCCCAAGAAGGTCTCTTACCTGTAGGCCCAACCTCCTCGCCTTCAGACTCTTTGTCCCTCAGAGTTAGCCAGGGTCCTGCGGAGGATGAAACTCTCAGGCCAGTGCAAGCCCCAGCTGCAGCCCCAGCCCCAGCCCTGTTCCCTGCCTTAGCCTCAGCACCAACCCCATCCCCAGCCCCAGCCCTAGTGTCAGCCCCAGCGCCATCCTCAGCTGCAGCCCCAGCCCTGATCGCTGCCCCCAGTAGTGGGTCAAGGCCTACGGCACAGGACCATAGTGCGGCTCTCCGCAAGGACAAGCAGGAGGGGCAAATCTCAACCAGCTGGGAAAATCTTATTTCCATGGTTCTTAGGAGTCACCCTTTCCCCAGGCAAGAGAGACCCCAAGGGAGAGCCCCAAGGGCAGCTCCCGAGAGCCCTAGAGATCCCAGCACTTGTGCACCCTCTGAGAACAGAGATTCTGGTTCTGCCCCTGAAGGGGCCGCCCCCAGCCTAGAGGTCAGGAATGGCTCCTCAGGGGCAGACACAGAGGCTGGACGTCGGCAGCAGCAGAGCCGCTTGGAGACCAAGGAGGCTCCCACCCCAGAGCCTCCCTCAGGTCCGAGAGGAGATGCAGTCGAGGAGAAGCGTGCAGAAGACCCTCTGTTGCCCGGAGCTGCAATGCCCGGGGCCCCATCACCGCGCCCTGAGCGGAGGCAGCCTGGCCCCCAACCCTCCCCCACTGGGAGGGGCGGCTCACAGCCGGTCCCGCCACCGCGGAAACGCAGCGCGGGTGAAAGAGCAGAGAGCTCCGAGCGCGGTGTCCGCCAGGCTGTGCCCGCGAGGCGCCAGGGAGAGGCTCCAGGGGAGAAGCCCCGCCCTGCAGGCAGCGGGATAGTAGTCCCAGGAAAGCAGAAAGAGGCCCGCAAGCTCATGGTGCTTCTGCAGAGGCCGGGGAGCGGGGGGGAGGTGGAGGGGCCCCGGAAGCCCAGCTCCCTAGCCCGCGAGCCGGCTTCGGCAGCAGCTCTACGACAACGCCTGGACCTGGGCAACTGCCTGGACGTCCTGGCCTTCGCCCAGCGGCACGCGGAGCCCGGCCTGCTGCAGGAGACATATTCCTTGATGAGCGACAATCTGCTGCACGTGCTGGGAGACCCGAACCTCTACCGGCAGCTGAGCGGGGCGGACCGAGAGCGCATCCTGAGCCTTCGGACTGGCCGGGGCCAGGCGGTGCTGGGGGTCCTCGTGCTGCCCAGCCTCTACCGGGTGAGCCGCTCAGGGCTCACCAGGGGCCCTTGTGGGGAGGAGGCTCCTACTCCGGGGCCTGCACCCCTGCCTCCCCGCACGCACCTGCACGTGTTCAACCCCCGAGAAAACACCTGGCGGCCCCTGACTCAGGTGCCGGAGGAGGCCCCGCTGCGAGGCTGTGGTCTCTGCACCATGCACAACTACCTATTCCTGGCGGGGGGCATCCGTGGCTCCGGGGCCAAGGCCGTCTGCTCCAACGAGGTCTTCTGCTACAACCCACTGACCAACGTCTGGAGCCAGGTGAGGCCCATGCAGCAGGCCCGTGCCCAGCTCAAGCTGGTGGCTCTGGACGGACTGCTTTACGCCATCGGTGGCGAGTGCTTGTACAGCATGGAGCGTTACGATCCGCGCACGGACGCCTGGACCTCACGCGCGCCCCTCCCTGCGGGCACCTTCCCTGTGGCCCATGAGGCTGTGGCCTGCCGTGGGGACATCTACGTCACCGGGGGCCACCTCTTCTACCGCTTGCTGAGGTACAGCCCTGGGAAGGATGCGTGGGATGAGTGCCCCTACAGCGCCAGCCACCGGCGTTCCAGCGACATGGTGGCGTTGGGAGCCTTCCTTTACCGCTTCGACCTGCTGCGGGGCGTGGGCGCTGCGGTGATGCGCTACAACACCGTGACCGGCTCCTGGAGCCGGGCGGCCTCCTTGCCGCTGCCCGACCCGGCCCCACTCCACTGCACCGCGCTGGGCAACACCATTTACTGCCTCAACCACCAGGTCACGGCCACCTTTACGGTCTCCGAGGGGACTGCCCAGTTCCAGGCCAGGGAGCTGCAGCCCTTTGCTCTGGGGAATAAGGGGGTCCTCTCTCCATTCATCCTGACTCTGCCTGCCACCGACCCACTGCAGACTGCCCTCTGAGCTGCTGCTCTCGGGGGAGACTCTGGGGCTGGGGGTCTGCTGGCAGGTGGGGCACAGAAGGTGGCTGGGATCCAGAACTTTCTGCTGTTGTTTCTGGGACAGCTTTCTTTTTCTGTTTTAATAAGACTCATGATTTCCCCCTTCCATACCCCCCAGCCCTTAAAAGAAACTTCTCCCCATGGGAGCTCAGGCTCCTTGAACCTACCTGTGAGCTGGTTGCTGGGCATCCCTAGCCCGTTTCCCACCCTCCCACCACAGAATGCTGTCTACTGCCTTTATGACTTAGTTGTTGCCCTCACACCTCAGCTGGCTCACATACCCCTCCTCCAGGATGGTGCTCCTTCTCTGGGCTCCAGGGCCAGTCTCCCTGTGGCAGCACCACACTGCCTGGAAAAACATCTGTCTGTGGGTCTACTGGTACTCTGAGAGCCAGGGACTGATGATGTGTCCTTAAGGACCAGGATTTGGCCTGTGGAGGAGCTGAGTGACTGCTGAGAGGAGGAAGGAGGTGGCTAGAAACAAGTCACATTTCCTGTCTTTTGTCCCTAGGGCTCCAAGCTGGGCAAGGAGTCTATAAGGGAGTGGGAAGGGGGAACAAGGAACAGAAAAGTTCCCAGGAAAATGTCTTTGCCTCAGGCCTCAGGAGCCTGGCTTGGCTTGGGAATAACTCTGTAGCCCTCCTTTGTCTAATTGATCCCAGAGGCCTAGAACCCTTGTCTTTGAAACCATTCTGCTGTCTGCAGCCCCTGACTGTAACCCCAGCCCAGGCCTGGCCAGGACCACTTGGGCTCATGCACCTCTGTGGGGTCTCTCCCACCTGCTCTGCCCCTCTAGAAGCCAGCCTCACTTCCCACCAACGCCCGTTCTTACGTGAGACCCAGGTTTCCCCTAAGCTCTTTCCCTTATTAGCTGTGGACTTGGAAGAGACATCTAATTTCATTCTTCTCATCTGTGAATTGGGGATAATGAACATCTGTTACTCAGGAGAGTTGGTGAGAACATAAGGTCACATATGTGAGCACCTAGCACAGTGCCCAGGATGAATAAATAATGTTCCCCTTTGCCTATTTTGGAATCCACCATAGGAAGGTAAATAAATCTGACTGAATACTGCTACCTGTCCCACCCTCTGACCTGGTTTGTCTCTATCTGGCCCTGTTTTTGCCTTTTATTCTATGCTTGGTGCTACCGGCACTAAATATGTTTAATTCATTGAAAGCATCTGCATCTTATAATTCTCATTTTTGTTCGCAAGGTTTGATATGCTGCTGGGTAGGACAGAAAGGGGTCCTCAGGTTGTTCTTAAAAATAAGTTTATTGAGAAACAAGTACTGTTAATACAGCTATATTTCGGTCGCTGTTACTCTGCCAGCAGAGAAGGCTCCGTGCCTTAGGGGCTTCTCCACATTGGCAGATGGCAGCATGGTGGCCGTGGGTGGGCAGGGGGCCTACTGTTTATGCTTGGTCTCATTGAGCAGCTCTTGCCAGTTCTTCTCCATCTCCTCCTTGCAGTTGAGGAAGGCATCCTCCAGTCGGCGCATGGACTCTGCCAGTGAGGGGTTGGTGCGCATCACCACCATGTCGTAGGCCATCCATGTGGCTTGCACTGCAACAACCAGACAGGCCCTGATCAGGCTGCAGAGTGGGGCTGTGGCTCTGGAACACCCCAGGGAGGGCCACATGCCTCCAACCATGCTAAGCATCCCAGGGACTAGATCCTGCTGAGTTACCCAATTTCTCTAAGGAGAGAAAACTGGTAGGCTACGTGTTATAGCGTGCATAAAAACCCCTATTAAAACTTCTCCCTACACAGGGCAGAACTGAAACTTCCCTGACCTCACACAGGTTAAGACCTCTTAACTTCTGGATGCATCAGCCCAGGACATTAAGGCTGGAGGCCAGTCTGATATAAAATATTGGGAAAAATTAGAGCAAACGTAAGTCCTTACCCATCAGCAGTTCATAGCTAGTGGTTGCAGGGTGAACCCTGAGGAGTCATAATGCTTATCCAAGCTCACGTGGGACTGACTACTTTTACTCTAGCAAGATTCTGAGCCTCATGTTACCTTATGCATAGTGGCCTGGGAGCCCTGCTCACTTCTATCTGGGTACCTCTCTGCTTTCATTAGGGCCAGTCCAAAGAAGAGATAGGCAGAATGAATAATAATAATTGCACATGAATATCCACACATGACCAAGGTCAGCAGCATAAGAGACTTGATGTTTTACAGAAAGTAATATCTGTTTGGTTAGGGAAAAATTGTTAGAAAAGCTTTGTGCAGTATCTCAACAGATAGAGGGCATATAGCTATATAGCTTGTACAGGAATTCTTGAACTTTTGGATGCATGAGAGTCACTTGGGAAACCTGTTGAAATGTAGGTTATTGGCCCCTCCCACAACTCAAAGAGGTTCTTTTTTTTTTTCAAGATTTTATTTATTTGACAGAGAGAGAGAGAGATACAGAGAGGGAACATAAGCAGGGCAGAGGCAGAGGGAGAAGCAGACTCCCCACAGAGCAAGGAGTCCAATATGGGGCTCGATCCCAGGACCCCGGGATCATGACCTGAGCCAAAGGCAGATGCTTAACAACTGAGCCACCGAGGCGTCCCTCAAAGAGATTCTTATTTACCAGGTTGGGAATGGTGCCCAGGAACCTGTATCTTAATAAGTAGACCACCCTTTCAGACCACCTGGACAGCTGGTGGAGCATGCACCTGGAAGTCAGAGCAGTTGGCTTCTGGGCTCTCCGCTTGCTACCTATGTGGCCAGGAACAAGTGACTTAAATTTACTAACCTCATTTGTAAAGGATAGACAACGTGCCAATCTCACAGCTTGCTATGAAGATTAAATGGATGATATATGTAATTTGCCTAGAACATATTAGGGTGTTCAAGATAGGAGAAACTCTTACTACAAAATTAATAATTGAGATATTCAGGGCAAAGGGTTAGGGCAGTAAGAAATAAAAATTCAGGAGAAAAAAAGAGCTTGCAGAAATGAGTCTCATATTGTTCAGCATGGCAGTTGGAATTCTAGCTCTGAGTTTCCTAAGGCCAAAGCAGAGGAAACATGCTCAGGTTTAAGACTCAGTGACCATAAAATAAAAACAAACCCATTAAGACTTTTATCCTAAGAAAAAATTTTCTGATAGGTGTATTTTTTGAGAAGTATGTAATAGAGATGAAAATGTTCTTGACAACATCCTATTTTATTTTTTTTAAAGATTTTATTTATTTGACAGAGAGACAGACAGCAAGAGAGGGAACACAAGCAGGGGGAGTGGCAGAGGGAGAAGCAGGCTCCTGCGAAGCAGGGAGCCCGATGTGGGGCTCGATCCCAGGGCCCCGGGATCATGACCTGAGCCGAAGGCAGTAGCTTAACCACTGAGCCACCCAGGCACCCCATCCCATTTTATTTTTTATAAGATTATTTTTAGAGGGGCGCCTGGGTGGCTCAGTTGGTTAAGCGACCGCCTTCGGCTCAGGTCATGATCCCAGGGTCCTGGGATCGAGCCCCGCATCGGGCTCCCTGCTCCGTGGGAAGCCTGCTTCTCCCTCTCCCACTCCCCCTGCTTGTGTTCCCTCTCTCGCTGTGTCTCTCTCTCAAATAAATAAAATCTTAAAAAAAAACACAACAAAAACCAAAAATCTGTTGTAGGAGAGGGGCGGACATCACTTAGGGAGGTGGTAAGTGAATTTGCTGTGTGGGCCTGGAAGATAGAAATGGAGAACGGAGACTACAGGAACAACGGCAAGAGGGTCAGCTGAGCCACGTGAGGAAGGGGTAAGACGGGCCTGGGGTTGGCAGCCATACGTGAAGTCTCACCTTTGGCAAAATAGACCAGTCAACGTTTTAAAATGTAAAGGGTGAAGTTCTACCTCCCAGTCTCAGGCCCCAGATGGTCTTACAGATGAATTTTACCAAACTTTGAAAGAACAGTTAAGTCTTATGTAATACAAGTGATTCCAGAAATTAGGAAAAGAAGATTGATAATCTCACTGTATGGGTATAGTAGCTTTCCATTCACATTATAGGAAATTTGAGAACAGAGATAAGCAAAAATAAAAACATAATTTTCCCTAAGCTCATTTGTTCTAAAATCAAAGATTATATGAAAAATATATAGGTCAATTTCACATCAATATAGATGTAAAACTCTAAATATAACATGAACTAATCAAATCTAACAATGAGTTAAAATAGTATGTTATGATCAAATAGAGTTTGTAAAAGAAATTCAAGGAAGACTGAGTATTAGAAAACCAGTCAGTGTAATTAATCACATTAATAAAAATGGGGAAATCAGAGGAATATCTCAGTTAAAGCCAAAAAAAAGGCAGTTAACAAAGTTTAATACCTAGTTATGATTTAAAAAATCAAAATTCTAACAAATTGGAAGTAGAATGAGACAGCCTTAACTTACTAAAAGTGATATACCAAAACCTATGATGAACATTGTACTAAATGGAGAAACTATGTATATATTCCCTTTAAAATTGGGATCAAACAAGGATACCTCCAACAATGTTACTGGTATAGGAGATGCTGGTAAATGGAATAAAGAATTTGAAAAGAAGTAAGAGGTGTAAAGATTGGAAGGTAAGAGATAAAACTATCAGTATTTGAGGATACCTGGGTGGCTTAGTCAGTTAAGCGACTGACTCTTGATTTCAGCTCAGGTCATGATCTCAGGGTTGTGAGATCAAGCCCCCCTGAGGATCCGCACTCAGCAGGGAGTCTGCTTGAGATTCTCTCTCTCTGCCCCTCCCCCTGACTTAGAGATCTCTCTCTAAAACAAACAAAAAACCCCAAACTATCAGTATTTGTAAATTATAAAAATGTATATGAACAAATAAGGATCCAATAGCTAAGTCAATCTTAAAAAATAAAAGCTAGAAGGGGAGAAATATGCCTTATCAGATATCAAGACCTCCTATAAAGTCATATATATATATATTTAAAGATTTTTGTTTATTTATTTGAGAGAGAGAGAGCACACAAGCAGGAGAAGGGGCAGAGAGGGAGGGAGAAGTAGACTCCCCCTGAGCAAGGACCCCGAAGCAGAACTCTATCCCAGGACCCCAAGATCATGATCTGAGCCAAAGGCAGATGTTTTACTGACTGAGCCACCCAGGTGTTCCCCTATAAGGTTATATTTTAAAAACTAGTGTGGCATAGGGGTGCCTGGGTGGCTCAGTTGGTTAAGTGTCTGCATTCGGCTCAGGTCATGATCCTGGGGTCCTGGGATTGAGCCCCACATTGGGCTCCTTGCTCAGCGGGGAGTCTGCTTCTCCCTCTCCCTCTGGCTGCCGCTCCCCCTGCTTGTGCTCGCTCTCTGTCAAATGAATAAATAAAATCTTTTAAAAAAATAGTGTGGTATAGACAAATAGACCAGTGGAAGAAAAACAGTAAGCTCAGAGATAGACCTAAGTATATATGGAAATTTAGTATATGATAAAAGTAAAACCAAAAATCAATGAAAAAAGACAGTTACTACAGATGAATTAAAGATATAAATATGAAAGAGAAAATAACATCTGTGGGTCAAAATTTAGCAGAATATCTGTGATCTTGGGACTTCTTAAAAACCACAAACCATAAGGCAAAATACTGGTGAGTCTTTCTATCAAAAGTTTTTTTTCTTTTTCTTTTTCTTTTTTTTTTTTTAAATATTTTATTTATTTATTTGACAGAGAGAGACAGCGAGAGAGGGAACACAAGCAGGGGGAGTGGAAGAGGGAGAAGCAGGCTTCCCGCCGAGCAGGGAGCCCGATGTGGGGCTCGATCCCAGGACCCTGGGATCATGACCTGAGCCGAAGGCAGGCGCTTAACGACTGAGCCACCCAGGCGCCCCAAAAGTTTTTTTTCAACTAAGGACAACATGGACAAAGTTTTCATACAAATGATAGAAGAAATTTATAATGCTTAAAGATGATAATGGGTTAATATCTATAATATACAAGAAAGTACTTCAAATTAATAAGACAGAAAATCCAATAATTAAAAAAAACCCCGGAAAACAACGAGTGTTGGTGAGGATGTGGAGAAATTGGAGCCCTTGTACACGCACTGCTGGTGGGGATGTAAGATGGTGCATCATGGTGTAAAACAGCTTGACATTCCTCAGAAAGCTAGACACAGAATTACCATATGACCCAGCAATTCCACTTCTAGGTAATATTCCAAACAACAGAGAGCAGGTTCTCAAACAAATACCTGTATACACATGTTCATAGTAGCACTATTCACAATAACTAAAAGGTGGACACAACCCAAATACCCATCAAAAGATGAACAAATAAATAAAATGATATATCCATACAATGGGATAATTATTCAGCCATAGGAAGGAATAAAATACTAATATATTCTATAGTCTGGATGAACCTTGAAAATTTATGCTAAGGAAGCAATGTCCACAATAGCCAAACTGTGGAAAGAGCCAAGATGTCCATCGACAGATGAATGGATAAAGAAGAGGTGGTATATATACACAATGGAATATTATGCAGCCATCAAAAGGAATGAGATCTTGCCATTTGCAATGACGTGGATGGAACTGGAGGGTGTTATGCTGAGTGAAATAAGTCAATCAGAGAAAGACATGTATGATATGACCTCACTGATATGAGGAATTCTTAATCTCAGGAAAC